CACCCATGATGGAGCACGGAAGGGAATATGCTATGTCCTGACAGCTCCAGGTCATCAGGGAAGAAGGAGGTGAAGACAGAGACGATGGTAATGTGAAGGTTGAAGATGATGAGATGGTATCCTGTATTCTCTTGTAAAGGAAAAATATTTTTGTTGGACATTTGGGTGTGAATGATTAGAGCTCCTATCTAGAAGAGTGCAATGAATTTCAATATATATCCCATCACCAATTAGTTGGCTGTTTTGGTTTATCTGTTTTTAATCAGTATTATTTTTGACATGTTTATTTATTCATTTATCGTACATTGTCCACAATACATTGTTTGAATTGGCAGTCATGTAAATCCTTCAAATAAATAAATGTGTAAACAAGTGACAGATGGCAGACATCTTTAAGTTTGGGAAATGAGCAGCTACATAACTATTGCCTCTAAAAGGAGGTCTAGAATTTATGGATGAAAAATAACCTATAAATTGGTCAGGATTCTAAAGTTCTGTTAGATGGAGAACATCTTTTAATGTTTTCTTGGGAATGCAGAACAAAGAGAGATTCATCAACATACCAATTATAGACCACATACAGACTGACATTGGCTAGAGAAGGTTTGGTGGTATCCTTGCCTATGTTGGAGAGTGCTAGCTGTATATCTTTTGGCAGTTATTCTCTATATCAGCAGTGCATCTTTAGAATAAGCTACATGGACCTGAATCAATCCTCCTGTGGATTTTAGAAAAGAATTATAGACTTACCTGCTTCTCCTGGCATTCCACAGAATGTAAGCAACCATATTAAATGATCACTTTTTACATATTTCATTATAATTTAATATTTCAAGTTTATTAAACTTTTAAATATCTAAAAGTAAGGAGATTTGTAGAAGCAAACAGGAGATCCACTAGCACATTGAAATGTATGTTACCTCCCATATTAGTTCTCATCTAGATTAATCCATTGTGAAAAATAATCTGAAGATTTGTCTGTTGTGTGTCCACAATGTAGATCCTTCTTAAAGAAACTACCCAATAAGAGAGTGGAAAGCAAGTGACCTAAACTAAAAATTTAAAAATATGAATGCAATATTAGAACAGGCAAAATGTCAAAAAGGTTGAGGCTGATTTGGCCGTAATCAAAATCACTTTATGACAATATTACAGCTGCCCACCCCCCAACTGGTCATTATGTATGGTGACATAAATTACATCAGCCAAGGAATATCCCTGTCTATAAGATAAATCTGGCAGGCAGAAATAGGCTCTTGACATCACATCTTAATTTGCATAAAACTCATTAGCATAAGCTTTTAAAGAAGTGATAAAAGCAATTTAATTTAAACTGGTTTTTTTCTTAACCAATGCTAATAATATTGCTGATCTGAAAAAATTTATAGGATTCTTTTTAATTATAATGAAGCATTACTGGGCCATTAATTTTTTTATTTTAAAATTGCTATTTTAAAAGGCTATTTGAGTGATATACCATATTGTACTATATAGTTATTTTACAAACGGGATAACTTTGTCACTAAGATACAATGATGTATTTAGCAGATTAGGTTGCAAAAGAACTACTACTACTTTTTATTTCATCAACACAATTTAAATCTATTGGCATTTATTCAGGAAAATGCAATAGAAATAATAAATGAATAGAATGTCAAGGATATCACAACAAGACTATAGTTAGAAAAAGAGAAGTTGTGATTTTCGATTTTGTTTGAATGGAAGGTCCACAATACAGAATCGATCCAAATGCAATAATACATTAATGATTTTAATATACTTGAACTTGTTTTCTTTAATTAAATCTTCTAGGAACTACATTTTAGGATAATGCTAGACGGTATTGAATATTCAGTAGGAATATTCTGTCTACTCTACTCATGATGGCAGAAATATGTCAAATCCTTGTTAACAACAATTAATTTAAGCTTGCTAAAGATTTTGAAAAAAAAGGTGAGAAAACAAGGACCACACAGAATAAGAGTTATATAATTTAATAGAATATGTAAATTAAATAGGATAAAAACAGATATAAGCACCTTCGGCTGCACTTAGAATCCAAAATAGGCAAAGTGCCCCCTGAAAGGACAAAGCTAATATTATAAAATGAAATACAAGGAAATCAAAATAAATTATCAATAACTACATGTCACAAACAATTCTCACAAAATAATATATAGGTTCTATATGGAATTTGTGAAGAAGGAAATATGATTTACTCTAGGAGAAAGAAAATAACTAAAAAATATTGCCTTGGAAATTAGTGTACTTCTGTTAAATAACTGGCGCATGAAAATTTAAAAAATAGTAAAACAGTGAAAATATCAGTAAATTATTTGGTGGTCATATAACCCATGCTTTCTGTTTATCATGCTCAAACTGCTATTATCTTTTTCTGATAGGCATTTATGAAAGGAACAATCATCTTCAACAAAAGATAATAAACAAATATCTATAAATAACATTGTTCACATTGAAATTTACCATATTCATTAACCAGAAATACTTAAACATGCTTACAGCATTCCTATTTAAGTTCTTCTGAAAACTTAACAGAGTATTTTATAATTCCTTTACATGTGCAGCCACGCATGTAGTTATATAAAAATAGCACTTTAGAATGATTAAATTTCCTACTGAGCAGATAATGGATGGGATTTGTAATTAGACAAAACTAGATTTTCTGGGCTGGCAATATACTAGAAATGGAGATGAAAAAAAGCCACACAGATTAATTTTCCATTGTCAAGAGTTTAGTTTAGCACTAAATAATAAAATCTCAAATATAACCAAATGATCATCCTTTTTTAAACAGTAGAGGGTTTAAGAGGATCTTTCATCTGCTGGCTGAGACTCCTTGGAAAAGCACGCTTTTTCATTCTAGTTATTCAAAAGTAATATTAACTGCATTTTTAAACAATTGGTTTATGTATTCTTTCCATTCAGGGAGACTACTTTTATTTAGGCAATCAAAGAACTAGTATATATGTCTGAAAATGTAAATTGATCTACAAGTAATCTAATCTCCATAAACTTAAAAAAATAAATCTGTTAGTAACTTATTCAAGTCAGTTAAACAAAAATATTTTTTTCTTCCTAAGTAGTTTCAGCAACAAATATTTCAACATATTCTTCCTTCTAAAGTCAATATGGAGAATGAGAGATTAAAATATTATTTACTCTTTCAAAGTTTTAAAAAAATAGGATGAATATATTTTTACTTTCCAAGAATCTGGCAAATTACTGCTGTTCAAACAATCTTGTAATCTAGGATTCATGGTGAGGGAATGTAATATACACAGATTGACTTGTAGCAAAAATATAAGTGAATATGCAAAATAATTTGTAATTCTTATAAGATCATGGCTGCAATCCAAGTATGTTTGCACAAAATTCTATATAAGCAGTAGAGTATATATACTGTTCAGTATTAGAAATTTTCTTTTCTTTAGAAAAAAATATGGATTTTTTTATTAATGTATGTGGCAGATCAATTGTTTGAATGCAAGCTACCCTTATAAAAACTGTCTTTTATAATTTTATAACTATTAAGGTGATCCTGGACTCATGATTGTATGCAGACACATGCAAAATCACAAATATATGCTTGTTACTGCTAGCCTAGTTATGTGAAGCTCAATGGTAGTTAAATGATATTATAGTGCCAAGAACAGTGATCATAGTGTGTAGAGTTATCCATGAAAAAGTAAAAGATTCAGAAACTCTACACCTTCATAACTTGTTCTAAAGAGCATGAAAATCCATCAGAACAACAAAATTATATATGATTTATTCATATTATTTCTCAGGTTAACCTACCGACTATAAGTCACTAGCCTCTGACATCAGTACAGAACTGAGGGTTACTTATTGTCTTCAATGGAATGGGGGTCAAAAGGCAAGAGGTCGATCCTTATAATAGGATATTTGCTTGGAACTACTTTCCAGTATGAAAGAACCCCCCCCCACACACACACACACACTCATTTCATCTACTAGTGCATAGGAGAAGACATCACAATCCCATTAAGACATATATACTTTAACAAAAGTTATGTGAGAAATGTGCTATTGGAAAACAAAGTACAAATTACCAAAAAGACTAATCTAGAGACAGGGCTGCCACAACATTGCAATATCAAACCAGTCCCTTCTAAGCTTGTATATTGAGCAACCATGCAAGACAGTGCATTAATTTGCATACCAGATCATTTCACATATTGCTATGATTAGAGAATGAATAATATATTTAGAATATTAAGCTAGTATTTATAATGGCACACTGATATTCTTCAGTCTTCTTTCAGTTTTGAAAAAAGTAAATATAGGAAAATTAATTTATGAACAGACATCTTCAGTTAAAATGAACAGTTTTAGTGGTGTCCACAAAGGGTATCAAAACAGGCAAGTTGGTGGATGCTGCAGATGCCCTCTTGCCTGCTTTGATATCTCTCACCATGCTGAATGGATTATACTGAATGGATTATACAGGAAATAATGCTGTTACATATTACATTGTTGCTTCTACAAATACTCTTTCATTTACAATAGCCTTGATAAAGTGCAAATTTGGTCAAAATACCTAAATAAAACATGCTTTTTGAATTGCATCCAAAGATGGTTAGACAAGATTTCTTCCTCTAGTAGCATGCTATTGTTTATTCAACTCAAGCAAAACATTGTACTCATATTTTGGTCTGCTGTCTCCTTGACTGGCTCAGTACAGTTATTGCCCAGCTTTTCTTTAGTCCTTTATTTATTTTGAAATCTCTTTACTTCTGTCAAGTAGCAACCATTTGACCCACATTTCTGCTACGTGGCTCCATTCCTCCAACAGTTGATTCTCTGAAAAAGTATCTCTGTGAGACTCTGCATCCCTTTAATTGAGAAGGGAACTTCAATTTTTCTCAGCTTTTGCCCCTTGCATTCTTTAGAGGCGTGCCATGCATAATTTTTCCATTAAACTAAGTTCTTGATAGCTGAAGAATAATATTAATTTCTCAGGCTGGCAGTCTGGGCTCAATTTTTAGAGATAGTTCGTACAGTGTGTCCTCATCTATGATGAGGCTTTTGTCCAACAAGTACTGAGTGACCTGGGAAAGCAAGAATATGAAGCAATTGTTTGGTGATGTTGGAATCATTATACACTTTCTTGAATAGAATTGTAGTTTTTCTCAAAATGAGATGTTTCGATCTTGATACAAACAAGAGAGGAAGCAGATACGGAATTTAGAAAAGAATAGAAATACTTTTTTTTAATGCAGATGGCAGGAGGTCATGGGCCTCAGTCAGACAATTTAACTTGCCATAACCCCATCAGCTCCCCCATCTAAGCAATGTGGCTAAAAATCGCCTTCTTTTCCACATCATCTCACTCAATGCAAAGTGATTGCTACTTAAACAGATCAATCCAGAGAAGGAACCCATGTTTTGTTTTATGTTTCCTCTTTGGCTTGTATGGTAATGCAAAAAGAAATCGTGAATAGTAGCCAGCAGTGTCCAGAGGGCAGCAAGGGATCTTAAGTGGCATCAGCTGGTCATGGTGTCACAATGCAAACCCTTCTCCTTTTCTAGGTGGTCACATTACACACATGCACAAAAGAAGTAGAGTTTCAACAAATATTAGGATACAGCTTGTGCACTCTGTTCTCCCCTTGCCCCCCCCCACCCCACCAGCTCTTATATTACTATTGCAGATCACCTTGCCTCTGAATATAGGTACTCCAGAACCCAGAATTACAGTTGTAAGTTGTGCCAGTCAGTAAACAGGTCATCACATAACTGATTCCATTTTACAGCATTTCTGGTGGTCATTAAGTGAATCACCATGGTCATTAAGCGAATCTGCAGTTGTTAAACGATTGCTGTGGTCGTTTAACAAATCCACTGCCCATAATGAGTGTTTTTTGCCAGAAAAGTACAGGTAGTCTTCAACTTATATCCATTTGTTTAGTGACCAATCAAAATTACAATGGCATTGAAAAAAGTGACTTTTGACCATTTTTTCACAGTTACTACCATTGCAGCATCCCCGGGGTCACACAATCAAAATTCAGAAGCTTGACAAGTGGCATTTATTTATGACGGCTGCAGTGTCCCAGGGTCATGTGATCACCTTTTGTGACCTTCTGACAAGCAAAGTCAATGGGGAAGCCAGATTCACTTAATAACCCTGTTACTAACTTAACAGTGATTCACTTAACAACTGAGGCAAGAAAAGTCGTAAAATGGGGCAAAACTCACTTAACACCTATTTTGCTTAGCAATGGCAATTTTAGGCTCAGTTGTGGTCGTAGGTTGAGGACGAGCTGTAAATGCCAGTTTCCGGCAAAAAAGTCATAAATCATAGTCATATAACCATGAGATGCTACAAACAGCCAAAATGCAATTATGTGTCCATGAGGAGGAGCAGTTGGCAGAACTTTGAATCTGGTCATAAGTACTTCTGGGTCTGTGGTAACTTAGGACTGGTTTTAAGTTGCTAGTGTTAACATCAGGAATTCAGTTACCTCAGCATGATCACTAAGCTTTGAAACCCAACACTGACCAATAGATACCAGCCATGAAAGCCTACACCATATAATGCTGAATTAAACTTTAAATCACAAATCTCTTCACCTACCTTGCTGATAAAAATATTGTGCATATTTAGTAATATATCCAGAATAAGGTAAAAACTTTATACTGTAGTAAAAGGAGATATGAAAATATTGTACCTTTTGTTGATGGTCTATTCGATAGGAAGCCTGTTGGAATTGACGTATTTCCCTGATAATATGCGATATCTGTTAAATAAGCAAGTATCAATAATAATTCCTTGTTTAATTTTAGAACAGTTGTTTGAATTCTAACTTTTTTATATAGAATTGTAATATGTAGCAAGGTTTATATTCTTTGCTCTTCTTTCTGGAGCTCTTTTAGTCTCTGAACTTTTCATCCTAGGCCAAAAGCAGGATTTATGGTCCAACCCAGTAGAATTAAAGTAGGGAAAAAATTATCCTTTTAGTGGGATTTTGGATTTTCCATTTTATACAACTGTTTTCCTAATAGCATGTCCTGATTGATTGTCCAGACAGGCAACAATGTGTGTGGCTTATCAACTGCAGCCAACGAGAGTTGGGGAGGTATATCTGATGCTATTGGATTTCAGCCTAAATTCTGCAGTAGAGAATTTTTTTTCTGTTGTTCTTTCTCTCCAGATCCCTTTTAAGAGAGAGTATGCAAAATGGGGTTTTGAGTGGGTTTGAGTGTTCCATGTTTTACTGGGTAGATTAATTTTGTTCTGACTTACATTTAACTAGTGTGGGTTTAAAACATATGCAAAAAATGGGCATGGATTCTGTATTGCCAAAATTGTGCTTTTTAATCCAGTTTAAGAGTGATTCTGTGTTGCCAGAGACACAGAGGAGATTTGACTGGGTCAGTGTCTATGTTATGGATGTAATGGGAATTTGGCTAATCAAGACTACAATACTGATTCTCCAAAATATGCCAGTAGATGGTGATAGAACATTGAGTGTAAATACAAGTATCAACAATTGCTTTTTAATTTCTATCCGCACTATGAAATATAATCTTATATACTGTTACCTATAAATCCTTATAATTTTTTTAAAAAAAACATGTATAAAAAAATTACCATTCGCATTTTAGAAAAATTGACGAGGCCTTCTTCAGTAAAGTTTGGTGTTCCTTCTTCAATAAAAGCCAGATCTGTGAGGTACATCCCAAGATATGGCACCGAAGGAGGGTTGCAACTGCAGGATAAGAAATGACAGCTGTCAGGATTATGAGTTACAGATAATCTTTCCTCACTTTCCACTATCAAAATCTATGATAAATAAATACTTTTATTTAGAAGTATGTTGCATAATATCTAGCAGAAGCTACTCCAAATATGGATACTTAGGACAACAGTCTTAGAAAATACTATATTTATTAGGCTGAATTCATGGCATAACCGAGTTGTTTTTAACTTTCAGATTTGATTGTCAATGTACTATTTTAATTAATTTGATTAATTGTGGGGAATTAAGTGTGTGAATAACAAGGCAACCTCCAGCCTGCAGACTAAAGGTAGGACATGCACCAATTCCAAACGTACCCTTTTTCCTCTCACATATTCTTGTGCAAAAAAACCCAAAATGTCATTACTTCACTGAGTCATTTCCCTCAAAGAAGCGATGTCAAGTTTTTTCTTTATCGTCTCTTGCACACATTATATGCTCAATGAAGCTGGAGTTATTTTTCTCTAACTTATCCTGCATAGAACAAGCATTCCTTGATTCCTCCTGCATGGAAGAACTGCAAAAGGACAGTTTTGGACTCAAGGGGAACAACTTTGTAACAGAAGCTTCCATTCTACAAATCAGGGCTGTAGTCCAATCTGCCAGGGATGTGATGGTAAAACAGCCATTCCTGTTTCAAATCTGTACCTTTCCTGGCTAAATCAAAAGGTCACAAAACCATTGATATCTTCTGATTTGTTTATTACACAGATGTTAGGGAGAAAAACCAGCTGAGATAAGAAGCAGGAGAAAAAGAGACTGAGTCCTTCCTGAAGAGAGACCAAAAATATGGAAGTGAAGCCAAATTAGCTATCTCTGACATAGTTTTGATTTCAGGTTTAAATAAAAATTGTCTCTTGTGACTGCTAGGTTGAAGAATCAAAAGAATAATGCTTTTTCATATTTTTAGTCCATCATCCACTACAGATGCAAATTTTAAATCATATAATAATTAGAACAAAATAAGAGACGTACTTCTTGAGTGTTTCTCTCAGATTTTTAAATCTTCCCTCAGATGACACAATCTTTTGAAGTTTATCCATAAGAGCTTTAGTCTACAAACAAAAATGACAAGAATGTAATACAACACAGAAAGTGCTCCCTAAACAAGATTTTAGCTTCAAAAAAATGTGTAGTTCTTCAAGTAATCATCATTAAGCATAGCCCAAAAATAAGAGGTTGGAATGAAAAACTTTATATGTGTATTTATTGCTTTGTTCAACTTCTTCAAATAAACATACCAAAGTCAGAATTCTGTCCAACACATGCTAAATATAACAGTACTGAAATAGGCGCATCATAAAATTGTTTAAATGAATCTATGCCTGCATGAGACATTTACACGAACGAACACGTCATTTTTGCAAGAATAATATTTAAACCGTTAGACTAGTAATGAATCCAGAAATGCACCCTTATGAAAAGGATACCAAAATATTAGGTTTCAATAAACTGCACAATTTTCTCATGATGAAAGTAATATGGTGCTGAACAGTTATCAGTTTTCATGAAAAGTCTCAATCTGTATTAATTACTTACTTGTTTAGAAACCTTTGCCCAGGTTTTCTTTAGTCTGTAGATTGCACTTCTGTTCAAGGCTGATGTGATTTCAAGGACACCATTGTAGTTGTGCATACATCGGCAAATATCTGCCACTGCAACCCATTTCTCAATGGTATTAGCACGGGAACTGATATCAGTGTAATTCATAATTTGGGATGCTACAAGGTTGCTCATCTAAATGAAAGAACTAGCACTATAAATATTTGCACTTACAAGACTGAATTAAACACCATTAATGATATAAATATGTCTGTCTCTTAGCAAACAAAACATATATTACAAAAATGATGAAAAGCAATCAGGCAACCCTTCCCAACCTGGTACCCTTCAAGAATATTTGAAATACTAATAACACATTTGAGAGGTGCTAAATTGCAAAAGCCTCTAATAAAACAAAAGAAAAGAAAAGAAATTATTGAAGAGATAGCAAAGGAAACTCTGTACAATAGATTCCAATAGCATACTAGGAGCGAAAAATCAATATGACATCTAAGCAGAAATAAGAAATCAAAATAATAAAGAACAATTTATTTTATACATTCTTAATAAAATGTAATTTAGTTTCTTGTGCCATTGTTTGGCAATCTCAGCAGATTTCTTAAGATCAAACTCCTTAGCTACTCTTCAGGAAAACTGGAATCCTTTGGTAACTTTTAGGGTCACAGCAATATTTTTAATCTAGCATTCTTGTATTCTTAGGAAGTACTCTCTATTTCTATGACAACTCACATCGTTAAAATGTTGGCTGGTTTTCATAATGTAAGGTGTTCTATCATTTTTATCCAATTTCATCCAACCCTGCCCAAGAAATTCTCTGGGGAAAAAAAGAAACAGCAGAAAAGAGAGAATATTTATTTCTATTCGCTCCATTTATTTTGGAGACAGCTTTACAATTCTGGAATGAATTCTTCTCAACTACTAAAAATGAATTGGTTACATAAGTAAACGTCTTTACTTAAAGCCTTATTAAATCAGGAAACAATGTTTGTTTTTAAAAAACATGTTTACTTTTGTAAACTTTCTCTAGCCAGATCCTTAAAGTAAGAAAAATTAGGAGACAAGTTCTTTTATACTACAGTAGGATCCCACTGGAATCAACTATAGTCGTATTTTCCTATTTAATGTGATCATACAATGTGAATCATGTATATTACTTCACATAACTTCTTTACACTCATTATTTCCTTCCCTCTCCAAACAAAATATTCATGGAATATGCTTCGACAATGGTAGTACTTTCTCTTTGCTGATATATTACAGACATTAGGAAACATAAAGCCACCTTTTACAGACTCAAAGTGCTCATCCATCTGGCCCATATACTGTATGTCAATATTGTCTGGAAGTAGTATTGAGGCTTTCAAACCAAAATTTCACAAATGATTTTTCCAAGTTTTATTTAGAGATGTAGCTAACTGAACTTGTTTTCTTTATATTCAGAATGCAATTCTCTACTTTTGAGTGGTCTTTCCCTGAATGCTACACACTCAGCCTTTAATGGCCTTGCTATCTGTACTACAGATTTCCTGAATTGACAGCACGTACAAAAATTTTATTGTTGGTTCTTTGGAGCTGTATTATGTATTGATATTTTAGCCTTTTCAGGAAATAAACTGCACCTTGCTCACAAAGAACAGCTTAGAAATACTATGCTATTACTGCATTGTGCTTTGATACTAGACTTTTATGATCCAATTATGCTGAAATATATGCGCTGATTCCATTTCCCCTGTCTATATGATCCATTCCAATTTTGTGCAAATTCTTGTATTATCCAAACCTTTGCTTAGAAATATTTGCATTCCCATAATAATGACTGGAATACCACTTACTCATAAGGTATGCTTCTGAAGACAATGTGATCTAAGAGAGTTATTTGTTCAGCAAGTTCCATCGCTGATAATGTTTCAAAGCATTCTGGTTTTGGACACTCTAGCTGTAAGGTAAAAATATATTTTAAACTGTTTAAAAAGCAATTTTAACCTTTTTTATTTGTTTTCTACAATATTAGGCTAATAGCTGTTTTATCAATTTTATTAGTCAGATTTTATTATTTGTGGAAGAAAAATCCTGAAAGGGAAAAGCACTTATATAAATATGCTCTCTGTTATTTAACAAAGAGAGTTACTTAGAGTACAATCCAGCCAAGTCCTCACTGAACTGATTTCAACAGAAATAAAACATAAAATACAGTACACTGGAAAAACATCAGCTTCCATAATAAATTTTCCCTTTTTCTGATAGATTATTTACCCAGATTTAAAAATGTTTATCATTTTTATACATGTTAATGAATTTCTCCTCTCAAAATTTTAATATTCTATTTTATTCCTAAAATTAATACATTAAGATTTTAGAAGTTAAGAGTGCTTCCAAAAGAGCACTGACAGGTTACAGTCTCATTTCTCTGTCATCAAAACAGCATTTCATGAATTCTTATTTCTGAAACCAGAATTGTTTCCCTAATGTTGTAAACAATAAATAAAACAATTTCATTTTCCTGGTGGCTTCCCCACTGACTTTGCTTGTGGGAATTCAGTAGGCAAGGTTGCAAATGGTAATCATGTGGCTATGGTTCATTGTGACTGGGTTTAAATCCCTGTTATTTGGTGTTGTTGTAACTTTTAACGATCACTGAATGAGTGGTCATAACCTGAAGACTACCTGTAGTTGCAGGTTACGCCATTTGTTCAGACACTGTTTGAAATTATGACAGCACTGAAGTATTTGTGACTGGTGCTTGAAAGTCCACATGCAGGTACCTCTTGCCCTTATTCCCCGGCCTTCCTCATCTTGCACTGTACTAAGCAGTCCCCTCCCCCAACTCATGTGTGGCTTGCCGACACATGTGGGTCCCCGGGGCCTCTGTCTCCCTCTGAAGGCATCTCTGTACTCTTTACCTGAGATCTTTTCACTTTTTGCTTAATCAATGAGTCTGGAATTAAGCAACGATCAAGATGGCCTGGACTGTTGCCACTGCTGATGTAGTCACATGGCACCACACTGCTTAGTGACAGCAACTCCAGCCCCAATTGCAGTCATACTTGAAGACTACCTGTAGAGTGTTGTTATTCAGCATTCCAGGCAATCAGACATGCCCTCTTCTAGTAAACACCCCATTTCAACTAACAGCACTATGGTTACTTAATCAGAACCTGAATATTGTTGAAATGGACAGCTATATTTGGGGTTTTTTTCTGTCTTTTAACATTTCTTATACTCCTATAAATCCTAGATTCTGTATATGTCTCCTCGTGGATTCAGACAGATTTAAAGGGATAAAATATTATAGATAAGGGGAAGTTCTAAATACTTGCTAATACACAATTCTTAAAATAAAAATGCATAGTATGAGCAGAATCCTAGAGTAATCATGTTCCTAGAACAGAATGGGAAAAAGAAGCTTAATGTGGTGAATAATGCCTAGATCTTGAAAAAGGAGTTTGCTGTCACTGTTACATCAAGCACCTTACACGGTTTAAAACTTTCTGTGCTTCAAATTCAACTTGATATTTCCTCTACATAAATAACTCTTCCATGGTTAACAGATTTTCACTTTTTAAAAATAAGTTCCTATTTATGTTTTACTTGCAAATTGCCACTGCAATTTTAAACAGCCATCTCAGGATTTATTTGAGGAACTGCCTCCACCTGATTTACATGTACCTGTCCATCAGGTCTAACAGAAGAGATATATTGTTATTCCTGGTGAAAGAGTTTCCTCTGGTGGGGCCCAGAAGATGGGCCTTTTCTGCCATGGTGCCCACCAAGGTGAGATTAGTCCCATCCTTGATATTCTTCTGGAAATCCTCAAAACATGGCTGTGTCAGCAGGTTTAGGGCTCTCAAAGAAATGGTGATTTAATGAGATGGCAGCATTGTTTTTAATATCGATTTTTCTTCTCTACCATCTTGTTATTAATAATATTGCTTGATGTCTTTTTAATTGTATCTGTTTTAGTATTTTGATTCTGCTATTGCTTTTTATTTTGTAATACTTAGAATCACTTCTCTGTGAGATGGACGGCTATATAAATAAACAATTTGTGTAATAAAATATATAAAGTAATGATTTATAAATAGTTTCTGAAGGTATGACTCATTTTAACCAACTTCCTCGGTATATTGAAATGAAAGTTCCACATTTTGCATAACATCTCAGTAAACTAAAGTTCATATCCATAGCTATTTTGTTTCATTCTAACTACTGAACAGTTGAAACACCTAGTCAGCAAAGGAAAATATAACAGAGAATGATGTGCAAAAGAGGCAGTAATAATGGAATAGTCAAGCATAATTTCCAGAGAGTAAGCTCAATTTATGTAAATAAAAAATAAACCAAACATATATTTATTTAAATAAACTCACCATCTGCATTATATCTTCTATTTTTAAGTGTGTGTCATCTTGATCCTCCTGAGAAAGTGTCCTAAAAATAATTAGCGATATATTTTATTTCACAATGAAATTTCTACAGTCTTTTGCGCTACTTTTAATGGTTACCTTATAGGTATTCCAAGTATATATGCTTATTTATTCTACTAGTATGCTGTCAAATAAATGTAGACTTATGGTGCTTTACAAAACAATCAATAATATAGATACTTTGAAACAATGTGTAATCAAAGTTACAGCAATCAAAACTAAATTATAATTATAAATTATGACAGGAAAATTAATAAAAAATACAAATAAATGAACAAGTCATTCAAAGTTAAATAAATTGAAGACAGCAAAAACAAGCTAACCAAATACTTCACAGAAAAATTAGTAGCTGCTTCTGGAATATTATAGGGGATGGAGGAAGTCTTAACTGTAAGGGGAAGTATTCTGCAAAGCGGGAGCAGCAATTAAGTCTCTATGTCTCTTCACCTTTCTTCAAGAAAGTGGGATATGATCAAAAGCTTCCCTAAGAAGAAGTTACAGGATGCATCTTCATGACTGATGTCTTGAAATAACGCCTAATAAATGATAGCCATAATTTTTAATGTCTCTTCAGAACTAAGTTCCACTATGCCATGTAAGTCTTGCATTTTCAGAATACTATTCAATTGTAATGCCTCTAGTACTCTATAAATACATGCTAGATACAGTATACTCCATGCTATTTCCATACATTTATAAAACAGCACAGGGACTGAGAGAGACACCTGATGCATTTAATGTAAAACCTGTCTTCAAGATGACATGGAATTATGAAAAATCGTTTATTGAATGCCGATGTTCAATCCCTTGCAGATCCACTGATACTGATTCTCACATCTACCATCTACCATCTGTCAGTAAGGCTATCAAATGATCTGAGGTAATAGTGTAATACAAAAGTCAATTATATAGGCACCAATATAAGCCTGATCTTTTCGTAGAGCGGTTCTGCCTATTTGCCCTGCCCTGAGGTTAGGGCCTAGGGCAAATACCAGAAACAAGAGTTTTATGAAACTGTCCAGACTAACATGTTTATTATGTTATATAAGATGCTATACTAGTTTTTTTGTGTAGCTTTTCTTGCAGAATAATATTTTGTTGCTACTTCTTTGGAAATGTTTGAAGTATTTGTTGGTTTTTCAATTGTAGCACCAAACTGGAACTGGAAATTATTGCTTGTATCATGTAAACAAGTGGCTTGGATGAGTTATTGGAGGGACTGAGCTTCTCATATTGCTTGTATGTAATATATTTAGAACGTTCATATATTTTTTAATTTGCAGTCAAACTTTTGGTGAAAAGAAGAACAAAAAGATACCAATTCTTCAAGGGTATAATTTTCCAGTATATGTTCCTTAGAGAAAGATTAAAATGGCTTTAACTCTTTATAAAACAGTTGCTGAGCAGCACATTTTTGTAACAAAATTTTATTTCCCCCTTTTTAAAGTGATATACTGAAACTAAACATCTGAATCGATCGTATTCCTGTTTCTTTCAAAATACTTCTGTTATGAAACTCATAGATCCTCTTTACCTAAGGATATTTGCTGTAGCTTTCCTTTCTTGTGGCAAAAGGTCAGGGTCTCTCAAAACCTCTTCTAGTAGATTAAGAACACTCATCTTCAATTCATTATTTAATTCAAAATCCTGCAAAACAAAATATTTCTGGATGAAGGAAGGAATCACGTTATAGATTTATAGTCTGCGAACATGATAAATATTTTTAAATAAATATTTATTAAATACATACATATAATTTTCTGGTTAATTTGTTTACAGTTGTTTGCACACCCTTCTGGCAATTATAATTATCTGATCTATATCAAGTTCCATGCAAGCCATTTTTGAGCAGCCTTTACAATTAATTCTTGCATGATAGTGGCATTGTTTAACCATTATCCTATAAATTCCATATTGCTTCATTAAATTCAGAACAATTACATTACTTAAGAGAAATTGGTAATAAACTGACACACCTGTGAAAAATAGTTGTATAATCTATTATTTTATGTGATCTACTCTTTAAAACACTAGGATATTGTTAGGTAAAATTTGCCACCGTTTAAAACTGCACTAAAGTTTCACAGTTTTAAAAACTGCATCCTCTTGAAACTAGAAATGCTACAAAATTGATTTCATTTAAATTTATCCTGAATGCTTGTAAATTGGTATCCAAACATTTTTTCACCCCCGTGCTCTGGATAGCAAAAATTATAGGGGTTTAAGAGTCCTTAACTATTTTATTAGTCTTACTGTCAGCCCTGCGACAACTGAGAATCTGTAGCCATTTTACCTTTTGCTTTCATTGTGGGGTTTTTTTTTTTGTTTGGTATTTTCAGATGTAGAAGGAGGGAGGGAGAAGTGCTTGAGCTGTTTCAGTTAGCTATAACAATTGCAACTGTGTGAGAATCAAGGTCAATGTTAGAAAAAGTTTTGGCGGGTTGAAAAGTTGGGGGAGAGCCTGTGTTTTAGAATAATTGGTGAATGTGATTTATGACAGCCTTTCTGGGGTGGGAATTACAACTTGTTACTTTGTAACAGGGGGGAGGGAATTTTAGTCTTGGGTTCACCTATGTAAGTGCCGATACTTTGTTTCCTAAATAAAATGTTCTTTAAGGAAGAAATCTTTGCCTTGAAGTTCTTTTAATTGGTTTTCATCTATTGGAACCATGACACTTACAGTGTTTTGTAATATTTGCTTTTATTTACATATACAATACATAAATTTTGCACATATGAATGTTTCTTTCCAAAATACTATTTAATTACTAGGTTCTTTAGGGGTCTTACACAAGAAAAATGCCTCCAGAGCTCTGACCAAATTTTCCCATATCCAAGTACATCTGAAATTTTAATTCACCCAAGCATTTTTTTTTCTTTCCATTTTAATTAGCTTATTTTTAGGAGAAGATAATCTAGGTGAGCCAAGCTTCACATTCTTTTAGGGCAATTAACAATGGTTATAATCTGTAACTACCGCATTGAAGTGAAATCATGGACAACTTTAGGCAAGAAAATCAGGATCTTTTATAACCAGAGCTCATGGATTCTAGACAATATCCAGAAAAATTATTAAAGAAAGATTTGATTTACAAGTTAAAAGCAGCAGAAACATTTCTAAGAAAACAGCACATTCATAAGATTACTGTGGAACCAAAGCAACTTATAGAAATAATTCTGAACATCCCATGAAGTTCAGTTTGTAATGAAAAAGATTTGTTTCTTGTTAAGGCAATTCAAACTTCTCCCAATGTGGAATCTGAATCAAAGATACACTAGTAAATTAATTAATAGGAGAGTTTATGAAAGGAGACATTATTTGCACATAGTTGGAACTCAAGATAATTTTAGGTTATTAAAAGTAGTAATATTTTGTAACTATTTTCACTGCATAGTGCTTTAGAATGGGAAAGGAATGCCTACACCGTATCTAATCAATAGGCAGGTAGCTGATCTGCTATGTAATTATGGAATCTCATTTATCCTTAAAAATATGTGTTATTTATCTCAATCCTACAAAATAGAACAGACCGGTTTACTCTTTCTCTCCTATTTAATAGATGTTCCTTCCTCCATCTCATAAACAATTAAGACTATTTCAAAAGGGATATGGTAGAAGATAGCCATCAGGGAATTCAAGTGTTGAAATACCTTCTGTCGATATTTATGCTTGAATTAATTGAATAGCACTAACTCTAGTCATTTATATTTCAGGTTACTGCAGATGTTTCAATAAAGGATTTAAACTAAAAGCTTCAACTCTCCAGTATTTTGTAGCAGTCTCTTTTATAATGAATACCATCACGTGAGTAGCAATTGAGAATATGTTTCCATAGAAACAGAAACAATTATCACCAGCAAAGTTCTTGAAACTCCTGCACATTTAACTTTCCACGTAGGAACAAGATAAATCTATGTCTGAATTTTGTGCATGTCTTTTCAAATAGTTAACCAACTATGCATTTTCCTGAGATTATAGTTATGTTTCATGTTTTGAGTTTTGGTGTGCTTTTGTTTGAAGGATTATGTAACAGATTGCCCTGATATCAATTTATCTGCCTATTATTACTTTTATAATAAGACCTCATCGTCAATCATTTTTAACAAGACATGTTAAAAGGCCATGACAGTAATGTTATATTAGATTGGGAATGTCATGCTTCATGTTTCTAAGGAGTAGTATAGAAGAATAGAAGGAAAATGAAATATACTGTATGCTTGAAAAGCTCTTGCAATAAAGATTTTGATAAACAATAAATAAAAGTATTTATTTGGGCTCTTGAATACACTGAAATGTTAAAACAAATATGTAGTCGTTATCAGATTTTTTTCTGATTTTTAAAAAATTTAAATTAAAAAATTAATTTGTAAACTAACTGAACTTTTTAGTGTATGCTTGTGGAGAATTTGAGTTAGTGCTGTCCACAAAGGATTAAAATTTACAGAATGAGTGGCATGGTGGGGCAATCAAAAATCAAGATCTTTTATAACCCGAGACCATGGATTTTCCAAGTTTATTCACATTCAGACAAAAGCCTGAGGTTTTACTCATAACACTACACTTGTCCTCTTGCCCATTTTGACAAATCTTCCTGTAGACACTCATGAACCTATCCACCCATCCCTTAGCAATTATAGAATGTACTAATGAAGTTAGGAGTTTTTTTAGTATATTCCTAGTAAGAAATGGTTTCTTCTGTAAGGTTGAAGTTGAAATTATATTCTTATTATTTTTTAAAAAAAGTTGTTTGATACTTAAAGAACAAATTTCAGAGTAAATGCAGTTCATTATCCAGACAATGTTCTAATAAGTTCTTACTCCCTACTCAGCAAACAGAATGAGAGAGATATGAACTACAGTTTGGTGATATTTTCCGGTGGAATATTTCCCCTCTTCTGAGCTTGTACCAAGAGGCAGCATGTTACAGCTACTATGTAATCCATTGTCATTTTCAGAGGTCAAAGTTAAAGTTGAGATTGAGTTAAATTTTCAACAAAAATGTTTCATATCAAGTATCTTTGAAGTAGAAGCAAAAGTTAATCTTTAATAGCCCTTTCAATCTTCAATGCAAAACTTATATTGCATGCAAAAGCATCATATTCCATTGTCTTAAATACAGATGCAGATACTGTGCTTTTTAAAATATATTCCCACCTGAAACATGCCAAAATAGAACATTTTCCTACCAAAATCCTTTTCTGCTCTTCCTTACACATTTACAATTGTGGTTGTTTCAGTTGTGGGTCCTTGTTTCCCACTTTTTCCATATCTGCTGTATTTACTATTGTTATTATGGGATCAAAATCACATCAACAGTATGTCTAAAATGAAAAGAAAAATGGCCTAACACTAGAAATGAATTGGGATGTATTACTGTACATGTCTCCTTCATGGATTACTGCCTTGTCATGGCGAAGGGGCTTACGTAACCCAATGAAGCTATGAGCTATGCTGTGCAGGGCCACCCAAGACAGACAGGTCATAGCAGAGAGTTCTGACAAAATGTGATCCAATGGAGAAGGAAATGGCAACCCACTCCAGTATCTTTGCCATGAAAACTCCATGAACAGTACCAAAAAGCAAAAAGATAAGACCTGGAGGAATGCTGTCCATGGGGTTGCGATGGGTCGGACACGACTTCGCAACTAACAACAACAACTGTACATGTAATAATCCTTGGCCCTAGGATGAGTTTTTACTGTGAGTGAATTTACTGCACACGATAAAGAAGAATGCTAATAGCATTTGAAGTTCCATTATGTTTTCTTCCTCTTTGTCTGCCATGATAACCATGAACATTAGAAATCCAGTGGGAGAAAAAAAGAAAATGTATTCCTGTTACATGGAATATGAGACAAACAAGAAAACATTTTTGAGTGACATAATGCTTAAGGATAAGGCTCTGAAAATATATGAGTACATTTCTCAATGCACTGTGGTTATAAAGTTTTGACACCATATTCCACAACTACCTTTTTTCCACAAGTTCAGTATCTCTTGTTATGCAAATACATTTTATGTGAGGTTTTGGAGGAATGCAACTTTAGTATCAAGAGAGAGATAACTAGACACATTTAGAAAAATGTTTAAAAGGAGAGACTTCTGTTGCTGTGTTGCGGTGAGACAGATGCAGGAAGGCAGGGCTCTGGCTTCCACGCCCAATTTCACCCTGCTGCGGGGCCTAAAAGGGCCTAAAGTCACCCCGAAGAGGCGATGAAGAAGGAGGGATGCCTCGTCGATCACGGAGATCAGTATTTCCATTCAATCCGAGGAAAGCCCTCCAAACCGGCAGGGGAAAGACTGGCTACATTCCTCTGGCCAGCCATTAGCTGCTGACAACTGAAGAAGAAAAGCACTAATTAGTATCGTAAACAGCATGTTTGGAACTGGGTGAGAACATTGATCCTCTCTTTACTATTTTACAACTGAATTTCCTGGGAAAGGCTCCCAAGAAGCTAAAACCTCCGAACGTGAACGGAAGCGACCTTTTAATTTCTTTTATGGGAGACAGAAATAGATAATACTGAAATGGAAGTAACATAAAGCTACAGCTTTGATAAATTTGAGAATTGAGATAATTGTTAAGATTTTCTCCTTGAAAAAAAACATTGAGGTAAAATATAAGAAATCTATCCTTTGAATTAAG